ACTGTTTCCTCTCTGCCGTGTTGTATTTCCAGCAGACATCCAGAAAGTTGAAGTCCCCCACGAGAACAAGGGCTAGCGACTGTGAGACTTCTGCCAGCCCTTTGTAGAATATTTCGTCTGCCTCCTCATCCTGGTTGGGTGGTCTATAACAGACTGCGTTCCCCCTCATCCTTACCCACAAGCGCTCGATCTTATCATCACTATCATTGAGCTCTAGATAATCGAAGCACTTCCTAACATACAGGGCTACCCCACCGCCTCTCTTTCCTCGCCTGTCCCTTCTGAAGTCCTTGGTCCATACCTTCTCTCCACCCTGTCCTGGTTCAGGATCACCATGGTTTGGGAGCAGACAGATAGGTCTGCTTCTGTTTGGAGCTTGTCAGAGCCAACTAATGTTTGCAGAAAGCTTGGTGGAAAGCACAGCAAGGCATTCCTTTCTGCTTTCAAGATAGCTGCTCCCCACAGCCACGGCACTTGAAATAAGTAGGACAAACAATACAATATTCTGGTCTATATTTACAGGCCAAGAATAAGCATAGTGCATTTGAATGTACAGTGATGGGGGTGGATGGTCTGTAGAAGATAGGATGCTGACTAAAATTGTGGGGTTGGTTTTCTTTCCATTTTGGCAAAGAAAGGAGACTTTAAAGAAAAACAGCCACAGAGGTAGTACAGTTGTAAATTAATTCCTCTTTGATCGTCACATCATTTGGGCTATCCCACATTAGCTGGCCACATTGTATTTAAAGCTGTTTGGGTTTAAACAAGAACAATATATAGCTCTGGAGTTTCATGTCCTCCAGCTCTTTCATTGTGGGTACCTTAATAGCTCTACGAATGCATTTTTCTTGTCTGGGGCCACAAGTGTGTGAAACAAGTGTTCTGGAGCCATGTAGTTCCTGCCTAAAATTTCAAATTTTCCCGTAGATTAGCATCCTTGTGTAGATGAACAGCCCATTGAGTAGGCAAAAGGGTTGGTGCTATGTCACTGCCTGGCACTACGTTTTCTCAGGACTAGAGCTTTTCCTGTTCAAGCGTTTCCCTGGGTAGGTGCTGATCATCCCGCTCCTCATGCCTGCCTGGGTTCCAGGGCAGCGGGAGCCCCTGAGTCTTCACCTCGACAGGGTCTTCAACAAGTATCGCTGCCTTGACAAGAGAGCAAGAGAATCGTTAAAGGAGTATCAGAGCAAATGCAGTGAACAAAGAGGCAGCGACAATTAGGCAGCTACTTGTTTCTGTTGTTGACACGTACCCAGCAGTTTCCTTCTCTTCTCGTCCAAGGCTTCAACAAACAGCACTGAAATTTGATCTTTGTTTTTTAGATAAATCCTGTTAGTCACTGCGCTCTGGTGGTATTTTCCTCTTTGCCAGTAATTTCCCAAGTCAAAATGGATGGCCTTAGCTAAGCTGAATGTTTGCACTGTTTATGTCAAGCATTTCATTTTGTGAGAGGATTGTTAGTACTTAAAGACATTGACCTAGAGCTGTGATTGATCTCCCACCTACTGTTAAGGATCACAGCTGGGGAAGTATGCTCATGCAAAAGTGATGCTAGAAGTCCTCATATACGTGCTTATATGGGACAACCCATCAGTAGACAGCACAGACTAAATAAAACAAGGTGAAAATATCCTTATCAAGATGTTACATGCCCTTAAAATCAAGGCAGGGATAAAATTTAGCTAGTGTTTCACAAAGAGCTTCCTACCAGTGGGTTTTTTTAGATAACCCAGTCTGTATTTCAGACTAAGATACTCTCTACCTTGACCTAAGCCTCTACCATCTAAAATTTACTTCCCAATATTCTCCTGGAGACATTTTCCCTTTTTATCTCTGCCCTCTACCTTACAGTGCTCATCATGGTACAATAACAGGAACCACATGTAGAGACACAAATGGCAGGAGGTAAGTTTCAAAGCATTTGCACAGAAACACAGTTAGTACAGCTGAATCAGATCTTACTTTCTTCACGTGTGTTCCAGTCAGCTTCTCAAAATGGGATTTCTCTTAACACGTTTCCCCAGGAACTACCATTATGTGGTGGTAGAGGGAGATTGTTTTCACGGTACTGATTTCATTCTGTGTAGTAATAACTATCTGCATTTACATGTCGTTTTTCTGGGCATCTGTGGGTTACACAAATAAAAACATTTCCAAGCTGACAGCAGCACCCAGTAAGCTCAGCTAGCAGTCTGACAGTTAGATACTACACCTTGATTACGATATAGACAATCTGTATTTTTTGGTTTTTTTCTCCACAGATAGCTTTGTCCAGAGACCTTCAAGACCATCCACAGAAACAGTCCACCACAACCCCCCAACCATTGAACTGTTGCATCGTTCTAGATCACCCATCACCAACAATCACCGTCCGTCACCAGATCCCGATCAGCGGCCACTGAAGTCCCCTATGGACAACACTATCCGTCGCCTCTCCCCAGCCGACAGGGTACCGGGGACAAGGCATCAGCAAGAGAACAACCACCAGGAGCCCTATCCTCTTTCAGTGTCCCCGATAGAAAACAACCACTGCCCACCTCCTTCTGAGGTGCTCCAGAAGCCCTCCAGCCCTCGCCAAGAGAACACCAGGGTCATCCAGCTGATGCCCAGCCCTATCATGCATCCTTTGATACTGAACCCCAGGCACTCCGATTTCAAACCACCAAGGTTGTCTGACGATGGGCTGCACAGGGAGGTAAAGCCAATCAACTTGTCCCACCGAGAAGAGTTAGCTTATATGAACCACATCATGGTGTCTGTATCCCCTCCTGAGGACCATGCAATGCCAATTGGAAGAATAGCAGGTAAATGACATTCTCTAAGCTATACCAAAGTTGATGCTCTTCATTCATAACTAACCACGCTATGTATTAAGAGCTGCTCGTTTCCTTTTGCTACTCTGTGACCTCAAGGGTTTACTGGCATTCTTCAGGTTTCACCACATCTGTGGTTTGCACAGTTAAATATGATTAAACCAGTTTCATGGCAGGTTAAGCAAAGGTGCAGAGTGACTTGCTTGTGACCACAGAATGCGTAAGTGATATTGAAACATTGGTGTCCTGACACTCATTGCCTCTCTACCCACTAGCAACCCATTTGTTTCCCGAGATACCTATCTCCAAAGCCTTATCCTACAAAGAGGTAATTTTCCAAGAGTTGCATTCACATTAATGTCCAGTCCTACGGAAAGGAAAAAACCCTCTGTCAGTGGCCTTTGAGAAAATGCAGTGTCAAGCCTGCTATTATGGAGATGGCGGGACTAATGAAATATCACCTTGGAGTCCTACTTCATAGGCTTTCCTGTGCTTCTCACACTAGGATTGTCCCAGAAACAAGGTTGCCTTTGTCCCACGCAAACCACAGGCATTGTCTCACTTTTGTTATCGTAAATAACTGACATCACAACAGCTGAATCAGGAAGCTGAGGTTACAGAAAATGTTTTTTGTACTTGAAAGGGAACTGTAAATAGATAGGGAGAGGGGGAAGGGGAATCCAACCACTTCAGAAATACACTGAATGCCCCAGTAACCAGCTTCTTCTGAGAGATGTAAATACACACCACACCCAAAAACATTCCATGCATTTATGTCAGCAGTGAGCTAAGGTGATACCCAGCTTCTGTGGGGTATTACACATGTCCACAGAGGTACATTTTAAAACACCTTGTTCTTCTTTGTCCTTACATGCCTTAAATTTGTTACAGATGTGGTGCTGCCTCAGCTTTAATGAGGAAGATTTTCTGTTTTCTTAATACTTACCACTTTAAATTCGAAAGGTACATATCTCACCATCTAGTCAACATCAAGCACAACAAGGGCCATGATCCTTTCACATAATAGAGAGATGGGTTACAGAAATTAATCTTTTGACATTTTTGCCTGGCTGACATTTGTCTCTCTCCTTTTGATTTTTATTACCCACACTATTCTCAGCAATTTAAGAAATATACTTAATGTTATGGCAGAGAAGATACCCTACTGGTTGCATCACTGGAGATTTCCTTTCCGTAAAGTACTATTGGAAGGTCAGGGGGGTTGTTAATTTTTATTTTTCAGAAGGAAACATTTTCTAAGAATGAAGCCTAAACTGAAAAGAATATAAGAAAAAATACGGGGAGCAGGTGGTGGTGTAGTTTTTTAATTTAAACCCAGGAGTTTTCTTACATAATTGGAAATCTTTGGTTTCTGCATGTTGTGCACTCGGTCCAGTGATGCCAGCCCTATAATTAGTACTCCCACGTCCTTTCCATCCCTATGTTGTTTGCAGGGCAACAGAGCCCAAGCCCATGGATATTTGGGCCTAACAGAGTTGCTTGGAAAATATATGTAGCAGTTTGAAGTGTTACACACAGGCTAAATTTGCATGCTTAGCTGCTTTCACTTGCAGTCTCGTGGCTTTGCTTAGGCCTACCAGCATGGGTGGCATGTCTTAAAGAGCTGGTGAAGTATTTCATGCCAAAAAGACCTGAGGCATTCATTTCAGATAAGGGCAGTGCTTTATGGCCAAGGGTCGGGGGATTACATAGCTGGCAGTTGCTAGCATCTTAGATTTCTACTGTTAAATTTGCCAGTGTACTTCTGTCAGTACCCCATGTCCTTTAACTGTAAACACCAGCAAGCCTCACATGCTGTATAGGCACAAGCTATTGCTATTCTGGTTGGGTTGTAATGGCTCCTGAACTGTAACTGGACCCTATAAAGGGCTCACAGCCAATTTAAAGGTGACAAAACCCAGACAACTACCAAAAATGTAGATAGCTCATGTTTCATACCTGAAGTCAACTTCATCGGTGCTATTGAATTCAGTGGCAGCATACTTAGGCCCCCTAGAAGGAAAGTACACACCTTTTTACCTGTTTCCCCCCCATCTCACAGCCATCAATTTAGAGCTCCTTCTGTCAAGTGATTTCATTTTAAGAGCATTTCTTTTTTATGTCAGCATAAATCTATTTTCCACCTGAGTGTCTTTATCTTCGCTGACACTGCTATAGTTAACGTGGAGGCTTTTCACCAACCATGGCTCACCACTTCGATTTGAGAAAGGCCATGAAAATTATAACACTTGACTCTTAAACTGCAAATATACATCAATACAGATGTATTGTTAAAAAGAGCTTTTTAAAAATCACTGGCATTATTTCCATTTTCTAGATGAGGAAGACTGATCGGTTGGGTAATGAAAAGATTTACCAATAGTCCAGTGCCAGAGCTAACTACTTGTCCATTTACAGTGGTGAGAAGAGAGCCTTGACTTTCTACTGGCTTAACCATTTGCATGCAGGTGATTTTCAGGGGAGATAGTGGTGAGGAGCAGCTACCAGGGAAACCCCATGGGCTGCTGACTAAAACATTGGGCTGAGCTCCAAAACTTGTTCTATTCCCAGCTCAGATATTTTAAATTGTAAAAGGAATTCTTCCTGGACTTAAGGTACCTCACAGCCTCGTAAACCTGTTTACTTGTAGATAGAGTCTGTTTTTAAATGCAGCATGCAATTACTTGGTGCTGAGAAAGAAAATAATGTTTTCACTTGCTGCTATCCACAAATACTCTGTTTTCAGGAGGTCGATCAATAGAGCTCTGGACTTCCTGTCAGACAAAATAATGACCTCTACTCACCGGCTGACTAATCTTTCCTATCTTTTTATGTAATATCATTTCTCAAAATATTAATTTTACTGGTAAAGCACTTTCCCTTTTACAGCAAAGAATTTCAAGTTGAAGGTCTATTCTCTTTTCCTCTAAGGCCATTTCACACTTTTCTAGCAAAGCAAGAGACATAAAGTATCTTTATGTTACTCATTAAGGTCCCATATATTATTCATCAATGGCTAAAGTTGATTTTAAAAATCATGTTTAGCTATCTTCTCAACACAATATGCATGAGTCTTTTCTGTAACTTTGTCAGAACTAGAGGTCATTGTGTTGGGATGATCCAAAGGCAGACTTGCATCCCGTGTAAATGCACCAGGCAAGGGTTAAGCTAACTAAGTCAGGCATCAGTAGTCATATAGCTACGACAACACCTGAAATATTAAAAACACCTCAGAAGGGGAGTTTAGCGGAGTGGTGTAATGGACGATTTTCCTCACTGGTACTGCTAATTCAAAGCAGCAATAGTGTTTGTTGGTAGTCAGTTCCTAACTTGGACTCTAGCAAGCAGGCAGTCTATCCGGCTTGCTTTTAGCTCTGAAATTTTTAAATACTCCATCTTGGTTCCCCCCAAATAGTCTCCAAGGATTTCACTCTGGGGGGGGAAAAAATATACTTTACTTTTTTTTTCTTTTTTTTTTTTTTTTAACGCAGTTGCAGTTTCAGTCAAGAGAGGCGCCTGAAATTAGCTCTTCTGCAGAATGGAAATTCCACTCCCCATACACCTCTGACGGGGAGGGTTTTGTTATCAAACATTTTAGGACTTTGATATCTCATAAAAGGTACTTCCCCAAGGTACAAGGAGAGGCAGGGGTTATTGCGTTGGCAGGCGTTTGTAGCACGTCATGGCTGAGGCATGCACTGCAGCCCTGGAGGAACCACAGCCACCAGAAACCCTCCCTGCAGCCATCCTGAAGTTCTGCCCCCACGGCTTTCCTTGGGAGCTCTGCCTTTGACTTCAGCCAGGGCAGGTTTTCACCACAAAACTTTATTTAGGTGTCAAAAATGTCCTTTTTTTCAGATACCCATGTCCACCTCAGCTTGTTAGCATGCAGAAAAATGGGAACTGACATATTAGATCTCACCAGAAACCTGTTAGTTGCTTAAACGAAGACACAGGAATCCCTGCAAGAGGCAGTTACAGGATTATCCGACTACAACAGGGTTGGTTTTGTCCTAACTTCTATCACATAGAGGTTGGCTTAGAAACATTCCAATTAATTTAATGACCTGCTGGTATTTACCTCACTTTTGATTCAGTCACTTAAAACTCACTCATACAATTCTGGATGTTTTCTGTGAGGGGAAATACATTGCTGAGCAGGTTCCTGAGACTTCCAGCTCCCGGTGTCTTTTTCTATACTAGCTCTCTGGGACTGAAAGGCTTGTTCACTAATCCACAGCAACCACTGGCCGTGAAACTTTGGGATACAGATATAACTATCCCTTTACTCGAGCACTGCCCAGTACAGATACCAAACGGCTGCGCGGGTGTGAAAGGCAAGGTGCCGGGGAGCAGTGGTAGGTGCAGCTGGACTCCCCCTAAGGGCTCCCTGTCCTCTTGCAGTTGGGACCCAATAAAACCCATCAGACTCCAGGTTCACTCTGTGCGTGTCTGAGGCAGACCTATCCCATTCATACAAGCAGCTTAGAAGGATGAGCACTGCTATTTCTCTGCAGAGTCCCACCCTGCCTATTGCTTTTGATTCTGCTCCGCATTTGGGGGGGTGCGGTGGAATCTAAAGATAGGTGAGTCTTGTGCCTGTTGTTATCTATTAGTATGCTGTTCTTATCAGCTGGGTTACCTTAGCAACTATGCTGTATTTGACTTTATGAGCTGCCAGATTTGTTTCTTCCACTTCAGGAGTCTAAGGAAAAGCCAGGTAATGTTTAAACCGTTCAGAGGCACATTGTCTACCACTGTATTGGTTTGGCCCATAAAGCTATTGACTGCTGTTGGAATGAGGACAGGCAAGATTCTTACCCTGCCAAAGTCATGAGAGAGATCTACCTCCAGCTTTGCTTCTAACTTGCCTCAGCCCCTTCGTGTGCCACGCATCCAGAGAGTACGGGGGCGTAGCGTGAACCCCGCAGATTTGTAGCAAGACAAGTATAAGTGACTTCTGAATAGAAACAGTCTGACTGACGAAAGTG